ACTTGTTTGAAGGTTTGTTTGGATTGTGATAGATGCTACAGTTCGCTGTGAGCACAGGTCTGTGTGGGAATGTTTATGACATTTTTGCAGTATAGAAAGAATGTTATTCATGTTATATTTAAGAATTATTAGAAAAACCTATTTCTATGGAAAGTCCCCAGATAGAATTATTAGAAAAACCTATTTCTATGGAAACTGTACAGCTTGCAGTTACTGTAAGCTGATAAGTTATTTTTAGTTATATTTGATTAGTGACTAAATATTTTATATTTTATATATTATTAATATATATTATATTTTGTATAATATAAATTTTTGTAATATATATATATATATTTTTTTTGGTACCGAAATCGTATCGAACCGTGACCCCTGAACCGAGGTACGTACCGAACCGTGACATCTGTGTACCGTTCCACCTCTAATATATATAATCTTTAAATAATATTATATAATTTATTTTATACATTTTATAATATATTTATATTTATTTTATACATTATTAGTTTCGTGACTTGGGTATAGTGATGTTATATTTGTGAATGTTGTATTTGTTATATACATGTGTAAAATATTTTATTTCATATGTGATCATTTTAGAAAATATATATTTAATATGTCTTATATTTGAATAGTTTAGTGACTTAATATTTTAAACATGATTAATCCAGAGATTGGGTATAGTGACAGTCAGTGTTGGGTAAGTTACTTTCAAAAAGTAATTAATTACTATTACTAATTACATCATCAATATTGTATTTAACTTACTTTACTAATTACTCTGTCTGAAAAGTAATTTAGTTACTCAATAAGTAACTTAATTATTCAAATCGCTAATTAGGCTACATCTTAAAATCCCTATAAACCTTAAAGCATAGACAATAGAAATTAAACTCTTTATTCTTTCGATTTGAGTTAAATATGAAATAGTTTAGCCTTTTAGTTTTAAAACAACTGTAATACGTAAACATTTTAATAAAAAATTTAACCTTTGGTTAATAAATAGAATTACTTACAGCTTGATAAATATTACATGTATCAAGCTGTAAGCATTAAACTTTTCAAAGCAATGAGTACCATATTTCATACACACTGACATACTGTACATGTATTGGCAGTCACTAATAATAATTTTACCTACTCCTAACAAAAAAACATTTTGTACTGTCATTCATGCACATGTGCTTTGTATTACCACACAGTACATAAATAATATTCCGAAATTTTATAAACTAAATTCTTATTGCTTAGCACATTATAAGCATCAACATGCGATAATAGATCAATAAACACTGATCTAAACATTCCTAAACTGTAAGTGACAGTCAGTGTTGGGTAAGTTACTTTCAAAAAGTAATTAATTACTATTACTAATTACATCATCAATATTGTAATATAAATTACTTTACTAATTACTCTGTCTGAAAAGTAATGTAGTTACTCAATAAATAACTTAATTATTCAAATCGCTAATTAGGCTACATCTTAAAATCCCTATAAACCTTAAAGCATAGACAATAGAAATTAAACTCTTTATTCTTTCAATTTGAGTCCAACATAGAATAGTTTAGCCTATTAACTTTAAAACAACTGTAATACTTGATAAAAAGTGTAACCTTCTTTGGTTAACAAATAGAAATACTCTGCAAAATATCTGAATAACAAAAAAGTTTAAGAAAAGTTAAACAATACATTTCAGTTTGGCAAGATGTTCAGGAAAAGCCTGACTAGTAAAAATCCGTTAACTAGTAAAAATAACACGTTAAGTAATGTAGGTAAGAATAAATTACAGAAATGATCTCCTCCGCTGAATAAAGCCGCGTCAGATTGCACTGTTCTTCTGAGGTAAATTCCGGCTTATTCCTCATAGCAGGTCTTCTTTCAAAAACGATGAAAATTAGATGAATCTTGATATTTTTAAATCTAATTTTTGTATCTAGGTGAGGTTGTTTGCGCGCAGGTGACTGCATATAATGAGCTCAGATGCGGCAAAGACTGTACCTCGCTTTAGTTTCATACGGATTACATAATCAGAGAATACCCGTTTTCGATTTGAATTCGTTCATTTAAAAGTAGACACTTCAAGCTTTCAGATACGGGAAAGACTGTACCTCGCTTTCATATGGATTACATAATCAGGAATGTTCGTTTTCGATTTGAA